TGTGACATTTTTGCTCGGATATTTATGTCTTGCACTTTAGCAGCACTAACTGCTACATCGAGACGGCAGATGGAGCGTGCTGTAGGCGAAATTAGAAGGATGTATTTTCTTTTTCATCTCTTCAGTTTCACTGTACAGGAAAATGTATTTTTTTAGCCAAACATTTTGTGGCTGAAAAGTTTTGCGAGGTTCCGATGGCAGAAGCAAACGAGCTCAGCAAAGAATGGTTTGTTTTCACTTATAAATTTTTAGTAAATTTTAGCTTTTTCGGAAGTGGGTGGGATAAGAGGAGAAAAACCATTTATGTGAAGTATGTTCCCGTCTTCAGAAGTATTTGATTGTAGGTTGTCTGTGAATAGCATCTATCGGCCGTATGATCCAAAAGTACTGGTTATGAATGATGCGCGCACAAATGCAAAACGTCAGTCTGATGAAGAAAAAGACGTTGCGGGTCCTTCAAAACTGCGACAGCAACCCTCATTGCCGAAATGGTTTAAAAAATCGTAATTCATCGTACTGATTTCCACAAAATATCAAAAAACTATGGCTTTCCAATTGTGAACTGTACTAGTATTGAGAATAACGCACAAAAAGGCTGAAATTTTGCTTCACTGATTCAGATTCCGACAATAAACATCTGATTTTCGCTACTGTTAAGCTCATGCTGCAGTATTGGGTTTGGATTTCACATTCAAATGAACCAGCATTATAGCTGAAAAAAGGGAAAACCCAGTCTCATCGATGCGATCATGCGTTTTTGTGCTATTTCGTGCTGTAGTGAGATCGTTTGAGGTCTCAGCAGCGGGGGTCTGTGATTTACTGGTTCTCGAAGTTCAGGTAGTTGATTGTGCAGCTCTGTGGTATGTCAGTTGTCGATGCTGCTTTTGTGACGTGAAAACCAGGAACTGCTGGTGGTTGAAAGAAATCTAACGAATACCATAAATCATTTCTAAATACTACTTTTGCTGCGGTGAAAAGAAATGCTACTAGTGCTGTGCAGTCAGTGACAATGCAGATTATCATGGAATGTATAACTCGTAC